ACTGTACCCCACAAAACTATAATAAAAATACTGATTAATTAAAAAAAAAAAAAAAAAGACCCAAACTACAGTGTCTCTGAAAGGTTAAAAGTAAAAGGCTATGCAAAGCCAAGGTCAAATTTTTAATACGAGTCAAATTTGAATGCTAGGCAAAGCATGTAATAAGACAAAGAGGGGGGCTTTATAATGATATACAGTAAAATAAACTATGGAGGTCTAACAGCTATGAATACCCAAAAACCAAATAACATAGAATCCATGTATATGAAGCAAAAATTATACTGCATTAAAAGAGAAAAAAAAATAGAAACATTTGTCAACCCGTAACAGCTCAATTTTCTTTGAAATGATATATAAAATACCTAAATGATATAAGTAAGATAGTGGATGTGTAAGTGTTCTTATAACTCTATACCCTGTAAGTAGGAAATAAATCTACTTTTCATGAGCCATACATATTCACAAAAGTTGATTGAATAGTATATGATATACACATTTCAAAATAAACTCCAAATAAGGAAAATGCCATTTCATCATATTGCAATAAACACAAATTAATTACAAAGCTATTAAGCAAAGAAACCTTCCACTGAAAAAATATAAACAAAGAAACACACCCTTCTATCTGAAGCAACTCCTGGATAAAAGAGTAATCAAAGACAAAATTACAGAATATTTAGTGAAGAATAATTGTGAACACTGTATAACAGAACCCATGAGATTCTTAATAAGAAAAAGACAAGCCTCCTATTTTCTAGTTAAACAAACAAGAATAAAATAAATGAATTGAGGAGTCATCTCAGAGTTAGAAAAAGAACAAAATAAGAAAAGATGAATTAATATAAATAAAAACACCAGTTAAGGCATACAAAGCAAAAAAGAAACAATCAATTAGAAATTTCATGGAGAAAAGATTAAAGAAAAACACCATTATATGAAATAAATAAAAGTGGGGAAATAGTCACAGACACAGAGGAAATTAAAATAATTCTAAGAGATGTTTACAAAATATTAAAATATACAGCCATACAAAAGAAATGAACTTCAAGGCTTTTACAGCCAGATGTATTTGCCAAGGAGACAAGCTTATACTTTAAAGCCAATATTTCATCGAAAAGCACCCTAAGGCAATGGTTTGGATTTTGTAAAAGATGGTTATAAAACTGAAGATGTAACTTACTCTTTTAGCAAACCCTGGAAGATCTGGTCCGTCTGCACTAAGGCTATGCCCCTATTTTGAAATAAAACCCTATTTTCCAAGTGTAATTTTTTAAAAGACTATGGTCCCACTGAGATTTCTGGTTTAAACTGTTCAATTTAAAATCTACAGTTAAGCACTGAGGTAACATTTACTATGTTATACTTACTATGGCTTATGGTAGCTGGGTTAAAATGTTAAGTCAATAAAAATAATTTACCAGGTTAAAATTACTAAAAAATAGTTCCAGTCCGGTGACTGGAACTAACACTCTGTTCCCAATAGGCAAGAAATTCAACATGGTTATTTTCACATTGCCTTTGGCATGTTTTCATCCAATTTGTGCATATGTGTATGCAAATAAGTTTTCCTTTATGAGGAAAAAAATTCACATATTTAAGTAATTCATATTCACTGTCTCATAATTTTAAAAAGGAATCAATTCAATACTTCAAACTTAATATAAGTTAGCTATGATCTATCCTTTGGCCACAGACTGAATACTCCTAGCTGTAGGGAATATTATTGCAAAAGTATTATCAAAGAAAGCGTATGACAAGTAGAGTGTCTATGAAGGATGCATTTGCAGAATCATCTGTGAAGCTCTAGCTCCTCCACACCGAGGGGCTCCCTTCCACAACTACTCTGGAGGCCAAGCAATGACCTTGCAAAGAAAAATAACCATCCACTGAATGGGGTACCTGCTGGCGTATACATATAACAGCTAGGGAGAGGGAATTCATGAGTATGTGCATGTGTTGACAAGTACCTGAAGACAGGGCGAAGAAAATGCACGCATTTAAATGCTGAATGGGTCTTAAAAATATATCTGATCCAAACTTACTCTAAATCCCTCCTCTCCACATATACACACACAAAAAATCATGGATAAGGCCATAAAGAATTAGAGAGGTGATCTGACGAGGCCCAGGCCACAAACTAGCTGGAATAAAAGCTCTAATACAAGGTCCTCTGGTTTGTTTGTTTGTTTGCTTGAGTTGGTGTCTCACTCTGTTGCCCAGGCTGGAGGGCAGTGTCATGCTCACAATCACGCCAGCATCGACTTGCTGGGCTCAGGTAATCTTTCTGCCTCAGTCTTCTGAGTAGCCAGAACTACAGGTGCATGTTACCATACCCAGGTAATCTTCTGATTTTTTTATTGTAGAGATGAGGTCTTGCCAAGTTGCCCAGGCTGTTCTCAAACCCGTGGGCTCAGGCAATACTCACCTCAGCCTCCCAAAGTGCTGGGATTAGAGGCTTGAGTCACTGCACCTGGTCGGTTTGCTTTTTAATATGCTGTTAACTCTAGTCCTATTTCATTACCAGATAGTATGTCTAGCTTCAGAAGGAAAAATATGCACACACAAAGATGCCTTCTACAATGTCTCCTTTCAAACTAGAATCATAAGAATAATCACAACAGTAGTTCTCATCCCAAAATCAAAGTAACCAGCAGAAAACCCTATCTCTTGTCATTTTGGGGTATGAAGTTGAGACTAGTGTTAATAAGCAATGTTTTATGAAATCTTAGAGGTCTCTGAATCCATGCTGTGAAACTCCCTCTTAAATTAACAATTATTAACTGAGTTAACTGTGTCAACTTGAATTAACTGTAATCTAAATCCCCAGATCTACATATCAGCCTGAGGCCCACATATCTGGAATCAGATGTTTGAGTGACAGCTCTTCTAGAGATGAGGTTAGTGCACATGATGGAATTTGCGAAGACATCAGTCTTGATGCTGTACATTCATTTCCCTTTCTATTTCTCCAGTTCTATGGACTTTTTTGTTTATTTGTTTTAAAGTAATATATATTCATTAAAGACCCTGTCTACGCTTATAGACAATACAATTCCATCTTAGGATGTAGTTACTTTTAGATATAATTAGAACAGTAGTTTCTGGTGATTTCCTGACCTTAAACTGCCACATTTGGTTTTGGAATTTTACATTATGGGATTGTCCACTCAGAAGAAATAACCCAATCAATTATAACAGAGACATGAATTCAAGATTAACATCCTAATCCCACAGAGTGATGCCAAAGTAACCAATATTTTGTCAACCTATTAGGAAAAAAATAAGTAAAATGCTCCTCAAATGACATTTTGACAAAAGACTATCACAAGGAAACTACCCTTTCTCCCCCCAAAAAGAAATGCATAAATTAGAAATACCATAATGTTCTGAAAAACAGGATTTAGTTAATATTCAAACATTATATTACCAGGAAGGAAAAAAAAGTTATAGAATTCTCCCTCCCTCCCCAAAGAAAACTACTGTAATCTCAATAATTCTTATTCTTGCATTGCTGAAATATAAAATTCATAGAATATTCAGTGATGACAGCCCTGATAAACAGCACAGCAACAAGGTACCTGTCTGAAGAACTCCTCCAGGAGTGACATTGTCCAGCGATGATGCAGGTCCCACGCTTTTGCTGGATGGCTAATATCTGCTGTATGCAGCATAAGGGATAAGGCTTTCGGCTTTTCAATTCTGTAAACCAAAAGCACCCAAACACATGATGAGCACACTTTTCAGAATCTCAGAAAGAGTTCTTTTTCTTTCTTAATCATTAATTTTTTAAGAACCCTTCCATTTGCCCATCTCAAACCCCACTTCAGCTAAATTGAAGAAAAGGCATCATTTCATCCTACAACTGGAATTTTTATCAGCTTGTCTCTGTGTTTATTGAACTGGACTCTTCTGACTCACACCATTTATAAAATGACTGTGTCATTCAAAAAGACAACAAGAATCTAAGAGTCACTGACTTTGATGTTTTGTCTCTGCATTAAGTGGATCTTTGATAATTTAGCTTCCCACGGGGAGAGGCTTTAAATTCTAATTCTAATTCTATTACTGGCCCTGTTATTTATTTCAGCCCTCATGAGAACATACCTAGTCGTGATATGTACAATTTTAAAGCTCTCTCCTCCAAACCATCACTGCAAGAGACCACTCGATAAAATTGTGTTGAAGGAGATGCGCTTTAAAGGTATCACCACACGGACAAGAACCCGTCCAGATGCCTGTACAAACACAAGATGTCACAGGCACACTTACGCTTCTGGCTGTTGCAGAGCAGTCTTCATCGCTTTGATTTGTTGAAAGTGACAAGACATATCCGTGGCCATCACCATCTCTATTACCAAGGTTCGAAACTCCCTTTCAGGAAAACCCATGGAGAAAAAAGGATAGATGTGAAAATGGAAAGTAAACGTTAACTTCTTTTTTTGCCACTACTAATCAAAATCAGTTAACTATTTCTGACACATCTAATTTGATTTGGGTATTTTAGGTACGCTTTTAAAATAAGAATTAAATGAAGGTTAAGGATTAAGGAAATCACTTATTAGGAATATGATACATGAAATATACATATCATCTGGAAAATTAACTCACAGGAAAAATTTCAATGAAACTAAAAAATGTATTAAAGCACCCCCTTCTCAACTGAAATCAGAGTTTTGGGAAGAAATCTGAGGAAGTTTTAAGGAAATAATCCTAGGAAGTAGACTGGTAATCTATATTTAACTCTGAAGATAGGTACTTCATCTTTTTAAAAATAGGCTTTATTCTTGGAGCAATTTTAGGTTTACAGAAAAACTGAGCAGATAGTATAGTGAGTTCCCAAATGCCCTTCCTGCATACTTTAACATCCCACATTAGTGTGGTGCATTTGTTACAACTAATGAGCCAATCTTGATGCATTATGTTAAGTACAGTCCATAATTTACATTCGAATTCACTAATCATGTTGCAGTTCTGAGTTTTGACAAATCATAATGTCAGGTAGCCACCATGGCAGTATCATACAGAAGAGTTTTGGCATCTTAAAATCCCCTGGATTCCACCTATTCATCCCTACCTCCTTTCCCTTGAATCCATGCCAACCACTGATATTTTTACTGTCCAACAAGTTTATTGAGGTGTAATTTACATAGAATAAGCTGCTTTCATATAAATTGTACAATTCAGTGAGTTTTAATAGTTGAATAAACTTTTGAAAATACCACTGCAATCATGGTAACAACTATTTCCATCACCTCAAACCAGGCCCCAGGCAAACTTTGATCTGTTTTATGTCTCACTAGAAAAGTTTGCATATATGTACATATACATACATATATTAAAATGGACACTAGAGATATGTACACATACGTTCCCATGTATGTACACACACATAAAATACAAAATGTATTCTTTGCTTCTGACTTTCTTTACTCAACATAATAATTTGCAACTCATCCATGCAGTGGTTCATCAACAGTTAATTTTATTTTACAGATGAGGAGTATTCCATCAAATGAGCATACATTTGAGTTATTATATTCTAGTTTGGAGCTATTGTGAATAAAGCTGTTGTGAATATTAATGTACAAGTCTTTGTGTGGACATGTTTTAATTTCTCTGGGGCAAATACCTAGAAGTAGATTGGATGGTTCATAAGACAGCTAAGTGTTTGACTTTGTAAGAAATTGGCAAACATATTTTTCCAAAGCAGTTGCTACTACCACTTCATGTTTTGACCACTAGTGTATGAAGAAATTTTCAGTTTTTCTTTGCCTGTTCTTCAAATTTTTCCTGTGAGTTAATTTTCCAGATGATACATATATCCCACGTATCATATTCCTAATAAGTGATTTCCTTAATCCTTAACCTTCATTTAATTCTTATTTTAAAAGCATACCTAAAATACCCAAATCAAATTAGATGTGTCAGAAATAGTTAACTTATTTTGATTAGAAGTGGCAAGAATTTTAGCCATTCTTACCATGGATTTGTAGTAGTATCTCATTGTGGTTTTAATTTGCATTTCTTTGATGACTAGTGATGTCAGATACCTTTTCCTCTACTTATAGCTCATTTACATATTGGTTTTGTTTTGTTTTTAGGAAAAAATGTCTGTTTCAAGACTTTCTCATTTAAAAATTAAGTTGTTTTCTTATTGTTGAGTTGTAAAAATACATTTTAAAAATCCTATGTAAGGTATCTGTAATATGTTATTAATAATTTCTCCAATGTCTTGGCTTGCTTTTTTTCCCTCACAGTGTCTTCCAAAGAACAAAGGTTTTAATTTTGATCAAGTTCAATTTACATTTGTAAAAAATGCTTCATGCTTTTTATGACTAGTCTGAAAAATTTTCACCTATCCTAAGAACTTTGCTGTTTTCCTTTGGAACACTTAACATGTTAATTTTTAAGTTTAGGTATATGACCAATTCTGAATTCATTTTTCAGTATGGTACGAGGTAAAAGTCCAAGTTATTTTTTCCCCTTCTGCTGTAAAGATTTTTCTTTGCCTATTGAATTACCTTGGCACCATAAGTCCATTGATAAGTTCATTTCAAAACTCTCAGTTCTGTTTCATGGATCTGTATGTCTATACTTTCACCAATAAAATATATATATAATATGTATAATATTAACCTTGTATTCTGTGACCTTGTAAGATTCCTATCAGATCTAGTAGTTGTGTTACAGATTCCTAGGATTTTCTACTTAATCAGGTCATCTGCTAATAGAGACATCTTAACAATGTTGATGAAAGTAAGATCAAATATCATTGTATTGTTCTCAGTTTTAGAAGCAAAGTGTTCAGTATTTCACCGTTAAGCTTGAAGTTACCTATTGGTTTTTCACAGGTATCCTTTATCTAATTGAAGAAGTTTCCTTCTGTTTCTAGCTTGCTGAGGGTTTTTATCATAAATAAGTGTTAAATTTTCTCAAATGTTTTTTATACATCTATTGAAATGACCATATGCTTTCTTTTTTTTTTTTTTTAAATTTGCTGATTTATTTTAATTGGTTTATTCAGCATTTTTGAATGCTGAATTAACCTTATATGGCTGGGATAATCTCACTGTATTAGTCAGGGTTCTCCAGAGAAACAAATAGGATATACACATACAGAAAAAAGAGATTTATTATTAAAAAATTAGCTCACATAATTACAGAGACTGACAAGTTCAAAGATCTGCAGGGTGAGTTAGCAGGTTGGAGATTCAGGAAACCCAATAGTGTAGTTCTAATATGAAAGCCAACAGGCTCAAGATGCAGGAAAAGCTGTTCTTTCAGTTCAAAATTAGACTGAAAGAATTCTCCTTACTCAGGGGAAAGTCAGACTTTTTGTTCAACTCAGGCCTTTTTTCCTCTGCAATACCTTTTCTGTGTGGAGTTTTTTTTTAAATATCACTTAATTTTCTAATCCATTTTAACTTATCCATTAAATTTTCACCTATTTTTGGCTATTAGTGATTGCTTGGGGATTACAACACACATAGTTAATTTACAGTTTACTTAGTGTTAATATTTGACCACTTTATGTAAAATATAAAAATTTTGCAACAGTATAGGTCCATTTGCTACCACTAACTTGACCTTATGTCATAGTCATCACATATATTACACTTTCCTACATTATAAACCCCATGAGAAGATATCCTAATTTTTTATTTAAATGGTCATATGCAATTAATTTAAATGCATATTTAAAATAGACTTTTGTATTTACCCACATATTTACTATTTTATTTTTCCTGAAAGTCTGATTTCATTCTGGAACCACATTCCTTCTACCTACAGAACATTCTTCATCATTTCTTATAATGCAGCCCTGTTAGTGAAAAACTCCTGTTGTTTTCCATTATCTAAAAATAATTTTATTTCACCTTCATTTTTCTTCTTTTTTTTATTATAAAGATGTGGGGTACATTTCAGCGTTAGGTATATAAATATTCATCATGCATGTACCCTTGTTGATGAGGTATGCCCCTCCCTCCCCAAGCAGTTTCACTCAACTGCCAATCCCACCCCCACCCCCACCCCACCCCCGACAGTTTCCAACTACTGCCTTCATTTTTCAAAAATATGTTCACAGAATTCTTGTTGACTTTTTTTTTTTTAAAAGAAGTCGTTCCATTTTTTTCTGGACTCAATAGTTTCATATGAAAAGTCCACAGTTGTCCAAATTATTCTCCTAAATGTAATGAGTCATTTTTTTCTAATTTTATCTTTGACTCCAGCAGTTTGATGATAATATATGCCCAGTTGTGTGCCTTTCTTCAGATTTATCCTGTTTTAGGTTTGCTGAGTTTTTTGAATCTGTACATTTATAAGGTTGACCATATCTGGGGAGTTTTCCAACATTATTTCTTTAAAAATTGTCCCCATTTTCTCTCTTTTCTCTCCTACTGAGACTCCAACTACTCTTACATTTGATCATATAAAGTTGTCCCACAGGTCCTTAAGACTCTGCTCATTTTAAAACATATATTTTTTCTTACTTCTTCAAATTGGATGATTTCCAACTTTGAAATTTGAAAAGTAACTTTTCAAATTTACTGATTTCTTCCTCATCTTTTCCATTCTACTACTAAGTCTATGTAGTGAATATTAAATTTATGTATTTTATTTTCAGTCTAAAATTTCTGCTTTTCATTTATATTTTCATTTAACTGGTAAAATTTTTATATTTTATTCATCACAAGCACATTTTCCTTCACTTCACTGAGTATAGATACAATAATTGTAAATAAGTCACATTTTCTGTTCTTTTTAAGTCATTTAGATTGTATCCTGAACATTATGGATATAAGTTGTAGAGACCCTGGATTCTGTTATATTGCTCTAAAGATTACTGATGCTTTGTTCTAGCAGGTAATTCACTTTTTATATTCAAAATACAAGCTCTGCATAGGTTCAGTAAGCAATATTTCAAATCTCATTTCTGCTTCAAGTATATATATTTCAAGAGTCAGCTAGATACTTGGGGCAGAGGTTACACACAGAATTTTAGTTTCTCCTTTTTGGCTGTCTCTTTTCTTGGGTTCCACCTCACTCTACAAGTCCCCATACTGATATATCTAACCAGAAAGACGTGGAAGCAATATATACATAGTCATCCCATCAGTTTGTTACCTTGATGGAAACATCCTGCAGAATAAAGTCACAAAAACATCAAACTAATGTATTCTGTCAATCTTGTCACATTCTCCAAATTTTGACACCCCTTCTAAACCTAACCATTTTTACCCTCTAGAACCTTCAAGTCATTCTTTTGTTAAAAAAAAAAAAGTTTCTCCACAGTTTATGTTATGTTATGTGCAAGAGGACTGGTTTATTAGCAGCTTATTTGTCTTGCCAAAAGTAGAGCTCCATGTTATTCCACTTTGAAATAAAATAAATATCTGGTAATATAGTCATTTACAAGTGTCCCAAAACGTCTAATGTTTTTCTATGTCCTAAAATAACCTGCCAGCTACTAAAATCACTTTTTTAGAAAGATAAGAAACATAGGTAATCTTAAGATTAATGGGCTTAACTGAGCATTCTAAATAATTGGTTAATATTTTATTTATGAGTGAATACTAAAGCCTTGTAGCAACATATCTAAAAATTAATAAAACAAAATAAAATAACAAAACAATATTTTAAAAAATATCCTTAAATGAAAATAAGTTGAACATTAAATCTATGTCCTTTAAGTCTAAAAGTCATCAACTATAATCTTTTTTTTAACCTACATAATCCCAAAAACCAGGGAGTAGAAACAAAATGTAATGCTATAGGCTATAATTATAAAGAAGCTTCCAGTGAATCAGGATCTTAAGATATTCCATGATTTCATTCTTTCTTTGAGATAACACTTACATTTTACTCTCTCCAAGTTAATAAAGTTAGTACTGAATAAAAAACACAAATATTTAAGGTTGACACATAAACCAATTTCACAAAACTGTATTTTCAAGTGACTATTTTGGCCATTTTTTAAATACTAAGTTCACCTATGTTTTACTGAATCACTCAATTTTTGATCCAAGGTAATATTAAAATTATTCACTATTATCCACCAGAAAGAATGCAGAGCTAAAGATGAACAAGTATCGTTGCACTGGTGTGTACCAATGTATTCCAGTGTAAGTTAATATGTTTCAGTCTATTCGAGGTGATTAAGGGTTTAGATTCTGCTTATGCCAGCCTCACTACTCTAGTTGTAGTCAAAAAGAGTAAATGAGGTTTATGATCACAGTAGAGTAAAAACACAAATAATATACATTTTAGACAGAAATATAGTTAAACAAAAGTAGAAAATCTGTAAGAAGAATACAGACAACACAAATAGTATATCTATGCTTTGAAAATATGTTAAGAGGCAATTATGCACGCTTTGGAAAATTTTATTAGACTGTCAACGAGGCCAGGGATATACGCTATCTAATAAGCTCTCACATAAATCCTTCAAAGCCATGATGTATCTGAATATGTGTGAAGTTGTTCTCTGTTGCATTCAAACCTTTCATTATACTGTTACAAACATTTAAATTGGATAGAAGGTTCCTTTTCTTCCTGAAGATATGCAATGATTAACTGAAGTGTTCTGCATTTTTCAGGTGCTAAGTCTAACATATGCCAATAGAATTTAAGCCAAATATTCTTCTATGTTTTAATAAACTAAAGTTACATAAAAACACAGTCATATTTAGTGAAAATCAGTTTCTCAGATTTATTGTTCAGCACAGTTTATTTCTCGGAATCCTTGCAAAATGGTCAGCATGTAGATACTTACTCAATAAACAGCTGATTATTTAATTAAGATATAAGAACCAATTGAGTCACAGTGGATTCCGAACTTTGTAAGGATTTAGGTGATTTTTGTCTATAAGTTTTGAAACATCTTGACCTGTATTTATAGCTACAATGATTTATAAACTTGCTGTATATGACATAAAGTAGGCTGAGCATTTTAAATGGACTGTCCTTTATCATAATTTTAACCTCATTTTAGAGGAAATGTTATTAATTTCTGGAAATTAAATGTTTTAAAGGCATAAAAAAGGTTGAGTAACTTTCTTAATGTTATGCAGCTGGTACGCAGTAAATGACTGGGTCCATAGTCAAACCCAAGTGTATGTCTAAATCCAAAGATACACAATGTCATTTAGGCAACAGAATTAAGTACCCATGATTTTTTTTAAGTGTCAAAATAATTTTCTTAGAAAACTTCAAAAGATTGTTAAGAAGTTCAAATCAAATATAAGGTGAAAAACAATAATAAATAATAAAATTCAGATTTAAATGATAAAATTCAGATTTAAGAAGTTCAGATAAAAGCAATATAAGTTACTTAAGGTTTAAAATAAAAATGTTTTTAAAACCAGCAAATATATCTAACGTGTCCTTAGTTAGGCTTTTCAAACTTTCTTCCTTGAAGATTTTTAATACAATCTGAATCATTTAACTCAAATGGTTCAATTTCCCAATTTATTACTAGATGAGCAATAAAAAGATGGCATAATAAAGTAGTTGGAATATAATAATAACACTCTATTACTTTTATTTATCAGTATTTGGGTATTTTTGTTGAGAAATACACATGGAGAGAAAAATGACACACACAGAGAGTGAGTGAGAAAGAGAGAACAACTCTAATAAAAATTTTAAACAAGTATTACTTCCTCAAAAGCAGCATACTTCATCTATCATCACAGTTCCTTCCCTGGCTTTGAAATTTCTCTCTTGTCTCATCCTTACCTCCAGTCATCCTTTGAGAGGTTGATCAAAATATTCATCTCCTCATCCTCTTGTAGAAGGCGATAGGCTGCACTTAAATGGTGATTTTCCAGGACAGATCTATCGTTGTACAGAATAGCTGAATCAGATCTGAACAGAAAGCCAAGCAAAATTGAGGATGTTAAACATTTGGAATTTCTTCAGGTAACTCTTGCAGGAGAGAATGCGGTATCACTTTTTCCCATGTTTAGAAATTATTTTGCCCCCATGCCATTCATATGAACCAAAACCTCAGCTAACACTACAAATCGTCAATAGACATATATAGTATAATTTACTATCAATACATATGAACTCTCTCAGTCACAGAACTCTCTGAAAACTGTCTTATAACCAGGTCTCAATTACCTGAGAGGTGATTTTTTTTTTTAAGATGTGGATCATGTCAAACTTCCTTATATTTTCTGGAATGACATTAATTTTTATTTTTATTTTATTCAATGAATGCATTGGCTTATTTAGTTTAGTTGTAATTCTTGGAACACATACTATTTGGTGGGTACTATCTGCAAACTGCCTCTAGTAGTAGCTTGATCTTAACATTTTTTTCCTGCAAAAGCCACATGTGAAAAATTGAGAGAAAAGAATACAAAGATTTCATGTCAGTTGTTAGTCCCTTTCTCAAAGATTGTTCTATAACTAAATGTTACCAAACACAGGACTGTATACTATTTTAATATATTTAACTAAATGAAAGCTTAGGTTATTAGAGCCTATCTGTTTCTCCTCAAGGAAACTGAGTTTCTGAGATTTAAAGTAATTTTTTAGAGCTCCATGGTGGCCAAGTGGCAGGACTGGGATGAAGGTGGGGTCTTCTGAAGATTGGACCAGTGCTCCCTAAGACAATGTCTACCTGTCATTGGCCAAACTTTGGGATGCATCTAGAATACCTTGGAAGTGTTAGGCTTAATATTTTATCCATCAAAGGAAAAAAAATCTGGTCATAGATTTAGTTTTCTGAACAGGGATTGCATGAGCTGAGATGCTTTGGATAAGATTCTGTTGAAGAGGGCCAATGTTTAAATTTCACTCCAAACCAAGATTAACTAAACACACTGAAATTTTCCCACTCCTATGGAGATAACACAAAACATGCAAATCCTGAGGTGAAAGATCTGCTGTTACATCTGTTGTGAAAGTTAGGTACCAACTGATGTATATACTGTGACATTAAATGATTTTCCAACTCCTGTAATTAAGTCACTTTTCTTTGAGTTGTGACTGGTTCTGATACTGGTTTCCAGGCAAGATCCACATACAGTTGTTCAAACTACTCTCTTCCTTCAGCAGGTGCTATTCACCATGGTCTCTGCCCTCAGAGCCAAGGCTCCACCCACAGACACACATTAAACAGAGCTACTCTATGGAATTCTCTGTTTTAAAAATCTTGGGACAAAACCACAAAAGGCTGCTTTTCAGCAGCTGAGATTACTCTAAGTGAGTAGGCAGTGGGAAGAAATTAAAGCTAGCCTCTTAGGTCCTTTTGTTTGCTTCCATGCCATTGAAATTCCCCTTCTGAACAGAGATCAGACAATATTGTCTTCTCTTTTGTGTATCCCATAATTAAGTGTTGAGTTCATTAAATGCATGTAGATTGATTTAATGAACACAAACATAAGTGGAGTATGCACCTGCTTTTTCAAGTGAAATCCGCAAGTATTTATTTAGTGTTAAACTTCCATCTCTTTCTGCTATATTTCTTCTCTTTGCCTTAACACTTTTCCTCAAATCTTAGTTTCTTTTAATTCCTATGTCAAGGCCCAATTAATTCCACTGTCGGATTCTCTCCAGGTCCACATCATTGTCTTATGAAACGGCAAGTTCTGAGGCCAGAAGAAGGCAAATAAGGTAGCACTCTAAGTGGAAATGACAACTGACTGGCACTGCCTGGAATTCTGTGCTGAGAGGAGTACTAAGGATAAACCCACAGCTTAGTGAGAAAAAATACCAAAAGCAATTAGTGATATCTGTTACAAGTGAAGCAACTCAGAGGGAGACACTTGGGCCCATATTTAATATCTCCAAAAGAGGTTCATGCCACCTATGCAGCTCACGAGGAGAGATGCACAGGTTGCTCGTGGTGAAAGTGGCCTACAGGAGACAACCTAACTCCCTAAGCCCCTGTGCCATGGAGTGATGCGAACACTGAACAGAGCAGAGGTGAAATCAGAGAGGATGAGAAGAGCATCTCATCAGCATCAGAATCTCAGAGGTCAAAAAGTGAGACAGGTCAATTATTATCAACATCAACAGAAACACTCCACTCATTATGATCCTTATTGATTTCATTTACACGTGGTATCATCTGGCCTTTATAGAAACTGCCCCACCTCCTATTAGATGTAGGTAGAGGATGCATAGAACATACATAAATAAATAAAAAGCATCAGAATAGAGCAGAAAAGCATATCCATATTAGATCTGAGTAAAATATGAGAATTAGGAGCAGATGGTTCCTTAAACTCTAAGTCTTGATGGAAGCTGACCAGGATGATGTCTTGTTTATAGGATCATTTTTTTCAGAAACTCAAAATAGGAAAACCATACAAAAGAAAGGTGCCTAACACCACTTTGACTTAGATGACTAACACCTTTTGGACTTCTAAAACTTACTCCCTGTCCCCTCTTGACTCTTCACTAAACATTTCAACATCCTCACCGAGTCTGAATGTGGAAATTGTTGGTGGTTCCGGTATGTTCATAGTCATGGATGGCAGCTGAGAAGATTATAGCAAAGATCTCCAGCTCTGTCAGCCAGTTCTGAAAAGGAGATTATAGAGCAATCAGATAATCTGTTTCTTTCTCAGACAAAGTCTTCAGCTTGCTGACAACACACCCACATTGTTGCCTTTCCACCCTGCAGCTGGTAAGCCATTGCCAAACTCAAGTTTTCTGGGAGACAGAAATAAGTTTGTTTGTTTGTTTTTCTGTGAAGAAACTGAGGGACTTGTTTGTGATTTGAAAACAGCATGCCCAGCAAGGTTGAATAAGCTAACTAGTAGTTTTATCTTTTTCAAGAGAGCAAAAAGATGATGAACATGAAGACTTTGAAAGCCCACATCCCATGCTTCCCCAGCTTTCAAATAAAGTTCCTAGGTATACACACACACACACACACACACACACACACACACACACAGGAAGATTAGAAATTTTAATACAATACCAAGAACTAAAAGTAATAGAAAACCTAGTATAATTATAGGAGGAATATCTATAGCATGGTGGATGTAGAAATAATATTTGGTTTTCTACTCTATGCATGTTGACGGTGTTTGAAGGGACTTGTCCCCACCTACACCATCAAAGTTGGCTATGGATCAGTGGTTTACAAAGTATGTTCCTTGGATCAGCAGTATTGGCATCATCTGGGAGCTTATAATAAATGCAAGCAAATTATTCAGCTACACCCCAATCCCACTGTAACAGAAACTAAGCTATCCGGATAATTTTGATGTACCCTAGAGTCTGAGAACTACGGCAGTGTTTGAAGCTCCTTTCATTGACTTCTACTTAATGAACTCTGTGGATTTACATTCCATCCCTTCTGTAAACCATTCTGTCCAATGTCCACACAACAGAACATTTCTGACTCTTAGAAAAATCTGTCCTTTTGGAATTCTTTCCTTACTTTTGTTACTAGGTAAATTGATGCTTACATGATTCAGTATGGTTTATTCCAAACCCTGTTTTGATAAGTTGCATTTGTTATAATTATATAACAGCATAACTCCAGAATTTTCATTCATGATCTTTAAGTCATATTTTCTTTGGGTCATTATTTATTTTTTTATTCAATATGATAAATATAATATAAACAAATAAAATATGAACACAAAAATGGGATTTTTATTTCTATAGAAACTAAGTTCAACGGTTTGGACAGTCACTAAAAAAAAAACTACTGTCAAAATACATGTGACCACTGTGAAAGAGTAGAAAATACCAGGGGGACCCCAAAAACAACATAATTATTTTTTGGAGGGTTGGGACCTTTTAGTACAGGCTTCCTCTCCTAGATAAGTATTCTAGGAACCATCACTGTACCAGCTAGCAAACATTGTTGTGAGAGGCTGTGTTCTGCTTCAGTGACTTTTTAAAAAATTTTTTCAATGCATTTGCCCATTTCAAGATAGGTGATTTCACAAGTGCACCTGCCCATACCTCACTAAGTGTTCAGCAGTTTTAGACCATAAACAGCATGACCCAAGTGCTCCACCCTCCCTATTCACCCGATCTTGCCCGAGCAATTTTTTTTCCCCCAGATGAAAAAAGCTCTCAAATAGAAATACTATGCCTATATATTTATAGAGGTGAAACAAAAACCAGCAGAAGCACTAAAAAGGAATACAAATTGACGAGCTCAAAAATTGTTTTGAGCAGGAGAAAAAGCATCTCAATAGGTGTATTGCATTCAATGGAGGGTACTTTGAAGGTGACTGAAATTCAAACAAGTAAGAATAAATTAGGTGGCTCAGCCTGTAATCCCAGCGCTTTGGGAGGCTGAGGTGAGTGGCTTGCCTGAGTCTGAGGGTTCAAGACCCTCCTGGGCAACTTGGCAAGACCTCATCTCTACAATAAAATCAAAAATTAGCCGAGCATGGTAGCACATGCCTATAGTTCCAGCCACTTGGAAGGCTGAGGTAGAAGGATTGCTGGAGCCCAGCAGGTTGAGGCTGCAGTGACCAGGAGCATGCCACTGCACTCCAGTCTGGGTGACAGAGTGAGACTCCAACTCAAAAAAAATAAAAAAGAATAAATGCACAATTTTTTATAAATAAATTTCTTTTGGGGAGGTCCCCCTTGTAATTATAAAAAGTTAGAGAGTTTTTGCTCTCAGTTTGCTTCATGAGTGTTTTAAGTTTCCATTTCACCTTAAAGAAAAGAGACAAGAAATCTTAGATAGGGGCACAATTGATGTAAGACATATATGAGTACCCAAATCAGTGAACTCAGAAAAGACCCTGGGGTCTGAATTAAAGATTAGCTCATGAAATATATTTATGTGACTTAAGTTAATACAGAATGATTTAAAATTAACATTTAAATTTTGGTGATTTCCCACTATAGACACTTCTTTTAATTAACTACTAATTTTGGTCATCATCTAAGAAACTTTTTGCAAATTATTGCCTTCTTTGAAAATAGGTGAGAAGAAAATTAAAAAGTTACATATGGTCTATGAAAAAGACTTCACAGTTAGGGGGAAATGAGCATGAAGATAACTCAGGTGGGAAAAACCCCACTATCCTTTTTTTTTTTTTTTTTTTGAGTTGGAGTCTCAGTCTGTCACCCATGCTGGAGTGCAGTGGCACACTCACCACTGCTCCAGTGTCGACCCACTGGGCTCAGGTGATCCTTCTGCCTCAGCCTTCCAAGTAGCCAGAATACCAGGCTTGTGCTATCACGCCTGGTTAATTTTGTGACTTACTGTAGAGATGAGGTCTTGCCAAGTTGCCCAGGCTGTTTTCGAACCCGTGGGCTCAGATAATTCCCTCACCTTGGCCTCCCAAAGTGCTGGGATTTCAGGCTTGAGTCATTGTGCCTAGCCTTACTTTTGAAAATTATTTATAGCAGAATCCAGCATGAAATGCCAGGAAACCTTTTGGCATCTTCCATAATATACCTCAAAAACACAAACTGAGGTTCACGAAACAGAAAGGCATAAAGGGAACAGACTAAGATGAAAATCAACAAAACGATATGAAAAAAGATGGATAAGATAGAAAAGATTGTAAGAAAACCAAAGCTGTAAAAATCTATTCTGAAGGCAGCAAGAAGCCTCCTCATCAGCCTTTTCATTGTCCTGGAGGCTTGCTAGTTCATTTACTTTGAGGCAGGCCTATTCTAGGTGCTTTTTATATAAAAACTCACACAATTCTCATGACTCCAGAAATATAGGTATTTTTGTTATCCCCACTCTACAGATGTGAAAACCAAATGGGGGGAGGTTCAACACTTACCCAAGATCACAAAACCAGTCATATAACAAGTCATATGATATGACTCCAGGATTCTCATTCATGATCTTTAAGTTGTATTTCCTTTGGTTCACTGTTCATGTGTTTATGCAGTTTTACATAAAATTATATAGGCATAATTTTTCTTGCTATTGTCCATATATATATTACACACACACACACACACACACACACACACACACTCTCATTTAGGTTAAGTCGTTCTTTTCTCTCCCAGTGTCTTGTTCCCCACCCATCTACCCCTGATCCCTCCCTCTACCCACTCTGCCACATATATCTCTTATACCAAACTCATGCAAAGTTAATTTCACATTTAAAAATAAGATTAGGAATGGGAGGCAGTGTAGCATCTAAACAAATCCCAGTCTAAGAACATTCTTCTCAGACCTAGAAAAAAACAACACAGGAATTCACATGGAAACACAAATGACCAAGAATAGCCAGAACAATCCTCAGCAAAAAAAAAACAAAGCCTGTGGTATCACATTACCAGACTTCAAACTTTACTGTAAAGCTACAATCATCAAAACAGCTTGGTATTGGTACAGGAACAGGCATATAGACCAATGGAATAGAATTGAGATTCCGGAAGCAAAACCTCAATTCCTCAACCACCTCATCTTCGACAAAGCCTCCACCACCTACCACTGGGGAGAGGAGAACCTATTCAGTAAATGGTGCTGGGGAAACTGGCTGACCACTTGCAGAAGATTGAAACAAGACCCCTATCTGTCCCCATACCCAAAAACTAACTCTAAATGGATCAGAGACCTAAATGTAAAAACTCAAACCATAAGAACCTTAGAAAATGAAGGATATACCCTCATGGAAATCGGAACTGGCA